TTTTAAATATGACGTTTTCATGTGACTTTAACCGATTAACTAAATCAAAACACTAAAAAGGCGTTCTCTAAGATTGTTCCGGTAGCAAGAATTCAATAATGTCACCTAATTTTTTACCTAATTACACCAAAAGTTCTCCATTGGGCTTTTAGCATACAGTACCCTCAACAGATACACAATACAAAAAATACAAAATTAATGTCGACACGGGGCACTGGTAATTTTGAAATAAAATTCAATTTTATTTTTTTTTATATTATGTAATTAGGTTAAACCTCAAAAGTATCTTTGTAAAAAGGATCAAAACGTAAAGAAATGAAGAAAAATGTCATACATTGAGATCCTTGACAATCGGGTGATCAGGATTTATCTCCAAAATTCGCCTTCCCCTCATGAATTCCAGGCTGGTATTATCCCCAAGCGTCTGTGCTTTCATTAATCTGTTTTTTTTGTTTAAAAAAAAAGTCAGAACAAAAAGTAGGCATTATTAACTAACCCAAAAACAAGAAATATCAATTTTACAACCAAGCCCTCCATATCATGTTTATTTCCCTGACAGACCTTTCCATGTTTGCCGACCATCCAAACTTGCCCGACACGAGGACACATGGTGAGGAGCTAAGACGTTTGGAGATTTGCACTTTAGCCACTTTGTCGCCAAGCTGTTGCTTAATCCAATCGCATAAAAGATTGTACTCTTGCTTGTTTTCCCTTTCTGTCACCTCATCTTCATCACCTGTTAATTTCAGATAAAAAAGTTTCAAGGAGAACCCTGTAATCTTTCAAAATGACAAAGTGCACCCTGACATTTTTGCATCCCTTTTAACATACGATTGTATTTTTCTTTTTTTAATTATAATACACTTTAAACGTTGGTTTTTTAATATATATATACTAACCAAGCTCCAGATCTTCCTTGCTGATGTCAACAAACTTCTTTTCCTTATACGTCTGTAAATTCTGAATCGCGACCTCATCAATTGGCTCGATTAAGTAAAGCACCTGTAAAATTGATAAACAAATACAATGAGAAAGAATAAAGTAATGGGGGCAATAAAAAATATTTTCAATTTTATGTGAGTTCCTTTTGGGCGAAAAAAAATGAAAAGCGAGTCGTTTGTAAAAATTATAATATCATGTACCTCAATGCCTTTCTGCACCAATTTTTCCAAAAATGGCGCAGATTTAGCACTTTTTAAGCTGTCAGTGGCCAAGTAATAGATAGCTTTTTGGTTTTCACCCATATTCTCGACATAGTTATCTAAGCTTATGGGCTCCTCCTCACTCTTGGAAGAGAAAAACCTCAACAATGGTGTTATCCTCTTGTGATTTCCAGTGTCTTCAATGCAACCCAACTTCAAAAACTTACCGAAATTCTCCCAGAATTTTTTGTAATCCTAGAAAAAAACTATTACGCAAAGTGATAGTTTAGNAATAATAAGAATAATAATAATAATAATAATAATAATAATAATAATAATAATAATAATAATAAGAAGAAGAAGAAGATCAAAACAAGGGTTCCCTTACAATTCGGCTCTCTTGAAGGATCTCTCTTGAAACATTAAGGGGAAGATCATCCGAGTCCACCACGCCCTTCACAAAGCTCAGGTACCTTGGGAACTACAATTTAGCATGTCAATATAACTTAATGAGTAAAATTTCAAAATTGAACTTTGACATGTAAAATTTGAAAATAAAATAAATATGATCAAACTAAATTGGTAAGGGATATTACCAGTTCACCATCAAAATCATCTGAAATGAAGACACGCTTCACATACAAACGGATATTTTTAGTCTTGGGATTGATAACCTCTTCATTGTTAAGAGGTGCCATTCCAGGAATATAGAGTACACTTCTGAACTCAACCTCACCCTGCAAAAGATATTAACTCAAAACCTCAATTTTAATAATAAAATAGTTAACCAAATTTTGTAACACTGTAGGCAATATGCATCAAGTACCTCTGTAGTGAAATGGGTGTAGGTAAGTGGCTCCAGAAATTCATTAAATGTCTTCTTGTAAAATTCTTGATATTGCTCCTTTTCAACTTCCTTGGGATTACGCATCTGCATATTTGAAATATTAAGTCGGCATATCTAATATTCTCCAGGCGCCAATTACAACTTGAAAAAAAAAATGTTAATTAGGTAAAATATAGCTCTTAAACTCACCCATATGGGTTTAGTCTCATTTGCCAATTCCCAGTCCCAGTATTTTTCGGTTTTGGTCTTTTTAGTCTTCTTCTTTTCTTCCTGCATGCAACAAAACACAAAGACCAATTAGATAAACATCCTTCTTTACATCAAACAGAAAATAGCAAGTGTGAAAAGGTCATTACCTCAGGTTTTTCTTCTCCCTCTTTTGGTTCCTCCTCTTCTTCTACCTGCCAAAAGATCCAATTACAATGATTTAATACATGGCCATGCTTTTAGGCTCCATTAAAAAAACAGAGTAATGAAATGATCGCAGGTGAAGAAATTCGACGATAACCCTTCTGATAAAGTTTCAAGACAATGAAATTGATAGGTTTTGGGGACCAACAACAAAATATATAAATAAGATGAATGAAAGCCTATGGTTCAAGAAATTGAAGCCTAACCTCAACAGTTCTTGACTTCTCTTGCCATGTATAGATGGGAAACGAGACAAATTGTGAATAATTCTTCACCAAATTCTGAATCTTGGTTGGTTCCGTATATTCGTATTTGTCATCCTCCTGCAAAGAAAGCATAGCTACATTTATTTCAGAAACAAAAAAAAAAAAAAAAAAANCTATGTGCAAGCTTGAATTCGCATTTGTCTGACAAAGCCAAAAAAAATAAAATTAAATTAAATAGATAACAATCTTTACAAAACAAGAACAACAACAACATAATCTTCCAGGTCAGGTCATGGTATTTTAGAATGATTGAGTCGAATAGATTGTCCATTTGGCTTCATCAACAAATTAAATAGCTACAAAAAAATATACCCTCATATAAAGTGTGATTTGCGTCCCTCTACGCAGTAATTTATCAGGGTCATTTTCTTCCTTAATCACATATGAGCTGCTATCAGCTACAGCCTCCCAAATATACTGCTTGTCAGATCGAGGGCTCTTTGTCGTCACCACCACCTGAAATAAACATAATGCAAAACCAAAACCAGAATTAAAATTATGTACAATAATAAAAAATGTTACTTATATTGTATAAAAGAACCCAAGGGCACCTTTTCAGCAACCAGGAATGCAGAATAGAATCCAACACCAAATTGACCGATCAAGCTATTGTCAGCTCCAAGATCCTTGTTTTCCTACACATTGCGAGTCGTCAAATGTTAATGTAACAGCAAAACCACAATTTAATCAAGTCAATCCCTGTAATTTTCATAACAACGAATTGGTACCTTCAGAGCCTTCAAGAATCTGGAAGTGCCACTTTGTGCAATAGTTCCAAGACACTCTATGAGCTCCTCCTTAGTCATGCCAATACCGGTGTCCCTGCAAGAACGAGAAATACAGACTAAGAAACACTTTTTTATTAAAATCACAGAAAAACGGAGTAAAAATACATACGTTATGGTAATTGTTCCGTTATCTGGATCAGGTTTGATACGAATCTCGAGCTCACCAGCATCACCAAGTAAAGAAGGTTCGGTTACACTCAAGAACCTCAATTTATCAAGAGCATCACTTGCATTACTGCAGGAAAATTTTCAATTGAGTCAACAATTGCCCCAGACTAAATTTTCAAAACATAAATGATAAATAATTTAAAGAGGTAACAATAAGACACTAAGACAGGAAGCACAAAATATAAACTTCACCTAACAAGCTCTCTAAGGAACACCTCCTTGTGGCTGTACAAGCTATGAACTATCAAGTCCAACAATCTGCTCACCTGAAACCCAACTGAAATACATTAGACAACAAGACACCAAGCCTTTTACCTAGAGAAAACAGACAAAATTTAAGTATAGCCAAAGCTCAAACCCCACAATACCGAACAAGATCTAATCTTTTTAACACAATAGAATAAAAAAAGATCCAATTTTTATCACTTTCAAACACCCCCACGCCCATCAGCTTCACAATACTTCAAACCAAACAAAAAAGCAAAATAAAAATAAAAAATAAAAAAAGAAAAAACCTTTACCTCAGCCTGATACTCATGTGTCTCTCCAGGGCTATCGGCGGTCTCGTTCTCGGCCACGGCGGCTGTAGCCTCGCACCTCAGCGCCGCCAATCTGTAATCCTTCCTCGCCACTTTACAGTCCAGCCCACTTCTCGAAAACCTGCTTCTCAACCCATTTCTCGGCAAAAAAGCGCTTCTCAAGAAGCACTGGTTGCTTTTACTGTAATTCTTCAAAGAAAAAGAAGCAGGAGTGAATGGGATTGGGGAAACTGAAGCAGAGGCCAGGCTTCTGCTCAACACAGGCGCCATGTTCTCAATTTTCTTGGGAAAAAGGGATTGCACGATAGAGGCTTTTGCTCTGGTTTTTTGCTATGGATTAACTCACTCTCCCTTCAATTTGAAAAACCCTATGCGGCAAGGGTTTAGGTTAATGAAGGTGAGCGAGGGTTCTAGAAATGGATGGAAGAGCAACTGTGAAGGTTTTTGTTGGAATTTTGTGAAATGGGGATTGTATGGTCCTGGTTGTTGCCACTTCAGCAAATACAATATCCGATTGGTTTTTACATTTTTTCATAAATTGATTTGTTTTTTAATATTAAAATTGAAAATTATGGTGCCTGTTTTTGAAAGACTCAATTCAATAATGTGGTCCATTTTAAAAAGAAATAGTAAATAGAAATTTAAATTTTATTACAACATTTGAGTCTCAACAAAAAAAATGCAATAAACTCATAAATGTTAGCTAATTTATGATCTTGTAGGTTATGCTTATAAAATATAAAAGTAAATAATAATAAAATTATTTTAAGCTACGCTAATTTTATTGCCAGGTAGGTCAAACAGGCATATATTTTAACGGATATCTATTGAATTTGAATATCAAACTTTAAAAAATAGCCTAAACAAAAAATCCTTAATATATATATATATATATATAGTTTATTTTTTAGATCAGTTACTAAATTAATTATAAATTTGGTAAGAAAATATTCAAATGTGTAACGGCTAATGTTGGAACTTAACGTTGATTGACACATTCAGAGCTGTAACCGCTATATTTGGTTGCATTGTTGGAAGAAAAATATGATTGACACATATTTTTTTTTTCTAAAAATCAGATACACCAATAATTTTTTTTATTTATGTTAATTTTCTTAATATATGCCACAAATATATAAATTATTTTATTCATATTACTAATGTAAGCTTTGCATGGTTAAAATAAAATTTAAATCTCAATTAATGTTGAATGATAAAAATAACTTAAGAAAAAGTAATAATTTTTATATGATAGAAGTATATGTCTAATTAATAAATACAAACAGAAATATGTTTTATTTATGTGCTAATGCACATGATCAAATACTAGTATGAAAAAATTTGTTTAGGCTAACATTTTAAATTTTTAATTAGAGTTGTAGAGATGGTAATTCCTTGCTATAGTTGTCATTCAAATTTAGTTATTCCGCAAACAAAACTCGATTGGATTTGTTAATGTTCGAACTCGATTTGTCTCAATTCGTTCGCTTATTTAAACAAGCTAATTTTGAAAATCTAATCGAACTCGTCCATAAAATGAGTCGAGACGATCTTGTCACGAATATAACTCATTTTAGGAATCTATATATATATAAAAAGAATTAACATTTATCAAAAATAGCACCAAAAAAGTCAATGAGCATTTAATGCATACTTTATTTGGAAATTTTTTAAATATATGCATTAATTGCTTTAATATACACATTTCCAAATCAAATATGACCAAAAAGATTTTTTCCTTGACTAATTTTATTAACATATGCAATAATTTTATCGATATCCATTATAATAAACTATAATTTGATTTTTCGTGATTGATGTTGATAATATTTTGGTCAACATAAAAATGAAAACAACTTTTAAGTCTTAACCATATTTTTTTTTTTTTTCACAAATGTTGACTTTCATCCTAAAATATTTATAAACAATGGTAACATGTTAAATAATTCTCCCTCTAACTAATTAGCTGAAATCAAGTTGATGAATTAATATTTTTCGATAATATTTTTTAACCTTTATTTAATTATATAAACAAATAATTTTTTAAATTAAAATAATTTACCATTTAAGAGATAATAATCAAATCATTAAATAATTTATTAATGGCTAAATAATAAAATTAAAATATATTAACTATTCTTTACATTTTCAACATTTTATTTATTTGTATATTATTGTCAACCATGATAATTTTATCATTTTTTTTTATTTTTATTTGTTTCCATAATGAATTTATTGTAAAATATATATTTATATTAAATAGTATGTTAAATAAACTAATAAAGCCTTAAGATGCAAATTAGAAAAATCTCTTGATTATGTAAGGTTTATTCATTGACAATTTGCTAAATCATTTTTTTTTAATTATTATGAGAAAATTAAATTCTAAAAAACATGTGTGTGTATTTTGTAAACATTTATAGAAATTTTTTATTTTAAACTCATTACATAAACTAAGAAGAAGAAGACTACTTCTATAACCTTTATAAATAATAATAATGACATTATATGACAACAAATCTATCATTATATAAAAAGAATAACCTTTTTACAAATTTAGAAACTTTTTCCCGCCAAAATCATTAAATATATCCTATATATAGTAATTGTTGGAGAAATTTGAATAGGCAAAAAAATTCGCTCATTAATTGTGTAAAGATTTGTTTCTCTTTTTCCTGTTTCTTAGTGTATCGTTTTAACAATAAATATTTGTTTTTTTTTTCCTATTTTTAGTATAAATCTACACGAGCTTATCTCTTCTGTTACAAAATCTCATTGCATACGATCTTAGGTGTTTAAAAAATCTCATCTCTTATCTATACAGATTTGAAAAAATAAAATGAAATAGAAATCAATTCATAATTACTACTAGAAATCCATTATCTTTAAAAAGAAAAAATAAAATAAAATAGAAACTAATTCATAATTACTACTAGAAATCCATTATCTACTTTAAGAAGCTAATTTTCATCGGTCTAATTACTAATATTTTTACAAATATTCTAAGCTAACCATACAAAAAAGTATAATAATAATTTTGAAATGGTGTGTAATCAAATTTTTTTATATTCTCTTATACAAAATCATTTTACCTTGTTTGACCCCGAATCTTTAATTTATAATTATTAAGTATTGTTTATCCTCCTCTTTTATTTATAATTATTTTTTTTCTTCCTCTCTTTAAATACGATCAATAGTAGTTTTCACTTCCACCATTGACTCAAACTCGAGGTCTATTTATAATATTGTTAATTTAATGTTATTTCCGTGCATCGCACGGGGTACACACTAGTATTCTAATAAAATAATAATTGACTATTAAATAAATGGTGAACAAGAATAAACATAAATTTTATTTTTTTTTCTTATATCGATGGATAAATATATGTTGCAGAATCAAATTTATATCAATATAACGTGTTAGCAGAATGATATATTAATAACATGTCAACGTTATGACTAAAATAAATATCACTGTTTGAAAGAAATGGAAAATTAATGATCCAACCCTATTATTTTTTGCCAAAATCGTACAAGCCATATAGATGACTCAATTAATATATGTGCCCCGTGCATCGCACGGGCTATGCACTAGTTTTAAATAAAACATGAAAGCTATACTTATATACAAACAACTCGATTTTGAATTTATTGTATGAGTCAGAGTCGAGTTTTCATGAATTTACACGAATTGAGTAAATGAGTTGGGTAGAGCCGAGACGGCTCATGGATGCAAACTCAAATGTGAAGTAATTGTCTAGAAAACTACCACCTTGCTATGTGGTACTAAAATTGACTAACTTTTAGATATTTGATTGGAAATGTGCTTAAGTCCTAATAAAAAAAAAAAAAGAAATAAACAAAACACGGGCGATTGTTCATGATGCCATTCATGTTCATAGATTGAAATTACAAATTTATATGAAATATATTGTCATGTGTATTTTATCTAATTAAATCACTTTAAAAAAAAAAAACTAGTACGTACCCCGTGCGATGCACGGGATAGAGATATTAAATGAATTATTTTCACAGGCTCTGTCCGTTTTAGTCTGAGAAGGGTTATTACCCATTTCCACCTATTTTAATAACCGTTAAGTCTCGTTTAAGTCTGAAAAGAGTTATCATCTATTTTTCACCTCTTTTAATCACCGTTAACTCTAAAAAAACAGGGTTATAATCTATTTTTCACATCTTTTAATCAGCGTTGTTTTACTAGTCAAAACATTAAACGTGAGCATGTTAGGCTAACTTGTAAAATAATTAATATATTATCTCACTAACACATTTATACTAATATAAATTTAATTTTATTATATATATTTATTCCTTGATATAAGAGAAAATAACAATTTTATTTATTCTTATTCACTATATAATAGTTAATTATTAAACTCTGATGCCATATAATGTCATTATTATTTATAAAATTATACAAGTTACACGTCTTCTTGTTCTTTTTATTTTATGTAATGAAATATATTTAATGCACGTTGGTATTATTTATATAAGTAATCAATTTAAAATTAAATAGTATATAAATAATGTACAAAATATACACATATATTTTTTTAGAATTTAATTTTGTATACTAATTAAACAACTTTGATTAAGAAAAGTCATGAACTCAATTTCTTCTAATATCAATATTTTTCTAATTTGCATTGTAATGATTATTCTTATTATATATATAGATTAGAATTTTTGCGACACCAACCAAACTAAATATCACAACAACCAAGTAACAATTATGAAAAAACCCATAACACAACAACTATCAATTAAATTTGGTAATAGAAAATTTACATACATATATATAAAAATATGAGGATTATATATTTCTATTAACTGATGTGTACACCACGTGTATATTTTGTTAAGGTATATTGGAATGTTCAATTTCATAGCATGATAACGATCCGTCTTAAAAAATTGAAAATCTTATTGAAATGCCATATTTTTCTGTTAAAAAAAATTCCCATAAAAAATAATTATAACATAGAAAATTCATTGTGTAATTGAACAAATTTCTATAATGAAGCCCGATTTTCTGTACAAAAATAAAGCAACAGCTTCCACATTTTAAGGAAATCAATTAATGTTGGTCCGCTTTTTCTAAGAAAATAATAAATAAATAAATTGTACTTAATGATGAGAGAATTTGACCATATCTGTTCTTAAAAATCGTAACAGAAAAACAAATATTAAATAAAAACTCTATAATACGGAAATAGTTATGGCAATAAATGCTTTTGACTTTTTTAGCTACTAAATTTGGTAAATAGAACTCCCTTTAATATAAGTATAGACTAAATAAATAATAATGCTGTGCTATCTCCAATTAGGATAGACTATGTTAGGTTGTTGGAACAATAACTCGAGCGTAGATATTACGTTATTTGATTTCTTCTTGTTTTTTTAGTCCATTTTTTGTTTAACAACCTTTCCAACATTCAAACAAAGAGTATTTTTTAAACTTATCGAATGTGAAAATATAGATCTAAAATAATTTTAGGTTTTCTATGTTTAAGAAATAGATAGATGTATAGGATATTTTATCTTATTCATTTCAATTATAATCATCTGATAGTTAATAGGGGTGTCATTTCTATCATATTTCTGCAAACTAGTCAAAATAATTCGTTACACAACTTTAATAATAGCATTATCCATCAATACAACAAGGAGACATCGTTCTCCTCCCGTGCCATCCCGTGTCAATAACATGATCACATACACATGTATATAAAAAAATGAAAAAAAAAATAAAAAATTAAGAATGAGACCCCCCATATTCTTCAATCATATAACTTCTAAAAGCCCTAAGTAAATAACTTGTTTAAAAAAAGAAATAGGAGAAAAAATTAATATTGCTTACCAAATATAATCAATTTTACGGCTCAACTCAGTATACTCACATGCTAAAAATCTAGCCATTGGCAAAACGCCCACATATAATCGCCTACCTCAAACTCAACATGACAACAACGACGCTCATCTGCATGTCACTTGGGCGCAGCATTAGCAGCCTCGTCCAAGACACGCAAGGGGTCAACATTGTCACCTAGCACCTTTATCCATTCCACGTCAGTCTTTAGAACAACTGCAACACGATCAGCTGACTTGGAAGGATCGAACTTGGAACACGACATTATGCATGTGTGGGTCAAATTCTTTATCAAACGGGTCATGTCTCCAGCCCAAACTTTCATAATTGTTTGTCATACATTTCATCCACTTTAGAGAACATCTCATTGGCCGCAGATGTCTCCTTCCCAAGCATTCCAAATTGGTTGGCAGACAAGCCATCCACATTAGAGAAAAACCCATTGGCAGAAGATACACCTATCCAGGGACTACCAAACAGGACCGACGAAGAAGAAGCACCGTACGACATCCCTCCTTACGAGGTCCTCAGCCACACGGTCCTCGTAAAAAATATGAAGACCCTCACAGTCGAACGACCCGTGCTCATCCACGAGAGTTACATCATTTGAAATGAAGATGAAAAAAGTCTCAAAAGAGAAGATAATTACAAATTAAAACTAACATCAGCGAATTTGTGAGTTAACATGAGATTCTAAAGTTTGTGATTAACCTAACAAGTATCTTTTCCTCCCCCATGAACCTCTCAACCTCACTCGCCATAAAGTCGAAGTCTGCTTCAGTGAATTCATGATCAATTTTGTTTCTCCACTTATCGACGACCTTTGTTAAATTTGTGTTACACAACACGACTTTCGACTGATGGTTCTTTTAAAACTAATGTCGCACTCTGTAGCGAGTTTGTTTGAAAGTGGAAAGAGTTCTTTGATGGACAGTGCATATGTGTACCAAAAATTCGAGAGAAAACTGAAATTGTTGATAAAGGGCCCCACAGTACTAGGAGCCAATACAAAGCTCTCTAAGTCAACTCTGACCGGAGTCAACGAAACGATAATGTCCATCTTAGAGTCCTTCCCCAATACAACATCGTCACATGACTGGGAAGAGACTTAGGTATCGGTATAAAACATCGAGCAATCTCCAACTCGATGAGAGTAAATTCGATGCCTCACTCACATTCACCATAAATATTTCACAAACTTTGTCAGCATTTTCATCAACGCTGGTAAGCTTCAGTGCATCAATAATACACTTGGGACCGAATGCTTCCCACGAAATCATACTCGTGTAATGGCCAGTTCTACTGTTCTTAATAAAATCGTCACCTTCAATGACAAATTCAGCATCATTAAACTTCTGCAAGCCTGTAAGACGCGTGTAAAAAGCCAAAATATAAAGACTAGACCTCGACAGGAGGAACTTGACTGACTTATTTTTGTGCTTCTTTTTATACACAACATTCACTTCCATGAGAGGGAATCCGGTGAAGCCGTTCAAATTTCGGATCCCATCAAACACGGACCCCTCCAGACACCCTTTCATGAATCCAACGCAGAACCTCGTAATGATTCAGGAAAAAAAGTGCTTGGAGGGGTCCGTGGTTGAGGGGATCCGAAATTTAAACTGCTCCAAGATTCCCTCTCATGAAAGTGAAGGTTGTGTATATAAAAAAACACAAAAAGAAGTCGGTCGAGTAGCTCATGTCGATGTCTAGCCTATACATTTTGGCTTTTTACATGGTCTTACAGGCTTGCAGAAGTTTGATGATGCTGAAATTACCATTCAAGATGACGATTTTATTAAGATCAGTAGAACTAGCCATTACACGAGTATGATTTCGTGGGAAGCACTCGGTCCCAAGCGTATTATTGATGCACTGAAACTTATCAATGATGAAAATGTTGGCAAAGCTTGTGAAATATTTATGGTGAATGTGAGTGAGACATCTATTTAACTCTCATCGAGTTGGAGATTTCTCGATGTTTTATACTCATACTCAAGCCTCTTCCCAGACACGAATATGACGATGCTGTGGTGGGGAAGGACACTGAGATGGACATTATCACTTAGTTGACTCCGATCAGAGTTGACTTAGAGATCTTTGTATCAACTCCTATTGTTGTGGACGCTTTATCAAGAATTTCTGTTCGTTCTCGAATGTATGGTACACATAAGCAATGCCCATCAAATAACTCTTTCTGACAAACTAAACTCGCTACAGAGTGCGGCATTAGTTTCAAAAGAGAACTCAGACTTAGACTAGCCGTGTTGTGTAACACGAATTTAACAAAAGTTGTCGATAAGAGAAGAAAAATAAAATGGACCATGAATTCACTCAAGCAAACTTCGAGTTTATGACAAGTGATTTCATGACAAGTGAGGTTGAGAGACTCAGGGGAGAAGAAGATACTTGTCAGGTTAATCACGAACTTTAGAATCTCATGTTAGCTCACAAATTCGCTGATGTTAGTTTTATTTTGTTATTATCTTCTCTTTTGAGACTGTTCGTGTTCGTTTCATTTCAGATGATGAAACCCTTTAAAACTTATGTCTTGCGTTTGTGTTTTATTTTGTAATTATCTGCCTTTATGCACCAATTTTGCAAAAAATGGAGCAGATTTAGGACTTTTTAGCTGTAATAGATAGCTTTTTGGTTTTCACCCATATTCTCGAAATAGTTATCTAAGCTTATGGGCGCTACCTCACTCTTGGAAGAGAAAAACCTCAACAATGGTGTTATCTTCTTGTGGTTTCCAGTGTCTTCAATGCAACCCAACTTCAAAACCTTACCGAAATTCTCCCAGAATTTTTTGTAATCCTAAAAAAAAACTATTACGCAAAGTGATAGTTTAGTACTTGGGCAAGAAAAATATTCAATTTTTATGATTTTATCATAAACAAACCTCTTTATTCTCATTTTCCAAAATATCCTGTATCACATCAAATGTCTTCTTAACAAGTCTCTTTCACATTATCCTCACCTTCATTAAATAACAAAAATAAGTTGAGAATTTTGTTTGATAAAGAAAAAAAAATAATGAGATAAAAGAAAAAGGGTTCCCTTACAATTCGGCTCTCTCGAAGGATCTCTCTTGAAAAATTAAGGGGAAGATCATCCGAGTCCACCACACCCTTCACAAAGCTCAGGTACCTTGGGAACTACAATTTATCATGCCAATATAACTTATGTAAAGTTTCAAAACTGGGACCTTAAAAGTAAATCAAACTCAAAAATAAAATAAATATGATCAAACTAAATTCGTAAGGGAATGTTTGGATACAAATTTATCCAAAAAAATTCAATCACTTTGACTTAACTTTAACTCAATCTCGACATACTCAATATTGGCTTTGTTTGGTAAATGGCTTTTTGTCTAGCTTTTAGCTGTTTGAAACCATTTTAGCTGTTTGACCATCTAAAACAGCTAAAAAAATTGTTTGGTAACTCAGCTGTTTAAAATGGCTTTTTGGGGGAAAAAGCTGATTTCACAAACGCTGCAATTTGCAGCGTTTGAAGTTAGCTTCTTATGCTATTATTATTTATATATGTTGTACAATTATTCAATCAGATAGAATAATTAAGTTGGGATGGGATAGGAGAAAAAAGATAAATAAATAAAAGAAGACAAATGATGGCGAGGAGAAGGATAATTAAGTTAAACAAATTTATAGTGTTGTCCATTATTTTAGTCATTTCTTCTTTTTTTGATAAAAAAATTATAAAAAATTTTGGATAAACATTATATAGAAATTGTAATTTGTAACCTTAAATTTTCATTGTTGTTTAATCACTATTTTAATGTTAATTAATAATATACATAAATTGTAGTTTCTAGAATAATTATAATTGCTAAAAGTATCAAAATACACAAACATAATTATAAGTAATTATATTCATAAAAAATATCAAAACGCTAATTTACAAAACACTTTCTGTAATGATCCGCTAATGTACAAGCTAGTCAAAACAGCTAATCTAATCCGCTGGTCAAAACAACTAATAGAATCCGCTAACAGCTAACCGCTAACAGCTGATTGCCAAACAAAGCCATTATCAATATAACTAAATAATACCACTCAATCATTCTTACTACCTCAACCTTACTTCACTATTCATCCACTCAAATAATTTTAACTAACCACAACTTCACATCATCTCTCTCCTACTTTTTCATCAAATCAACTTTAATTATTTTATTTTAAATATTATTTTAATATAAACTCAAACTAACAACTAATCATACCACTTTCTTCAAAATTAATCATTCCAAACCAAACAAAATCAAAATATTTTATAAAGAAGCATCCCCCAAGGGATTCATCCAATATCATGAGCTAACAAGGCACTCAAGCACGGAATATGCCATTATTAGGTCTCAAGTATTTTCTTTTCCTTCATGCATACTCTTGCTAACCAAAAAATATAGTGTTCAGTACATATCCATTTTCCCTTTTATCTCATACATTTTGGGAATTCTCAATAGACGAGTGACCACAAGATGAACAAGGTAACCAACAAAACTTAAAGGAAACACAAGTTCACCATCAAAATCATCTGAAATGAAGACACGCTTCACATACAAACGGATATTTTTAGTCTTGGAATTCATAACCTCTTCATTGTTAAGAGGTGCTATTCCAGGAATATAGAGTACACTTCGGAACTCAACCTCACCGTGCAAAAGATATTAACTCAACTCAATTTTAATAATACAATAGAATAGGTAGCAAATTTTATAACACCATACGAAATATGCATCAAGTACCTCTGTAGTGAAATCAAAAATGGGTGTAGGCAAGTGGCTCCAGAAATTCATTAAATGTCTTCCTGTAAAATTCTTGTATTGCTCATTTTCAACTTCCTTGGGATTACGCATCTGTATATTTCAAATATTAAGTCGGCATAAGTCATATTCTCCAGCACCAATTACAACATGTAAAAAAATTGTTAATTAGGTAAAATATAGCTCTTAAACTCACCCATATGGGTTTCGTCTCATTTGCCAATTTCCAGTCCAAGTATTTTTCGGTTTTGATCTTTTTAGTCTTCTTCTTTTCTTCCTGCATGCAATGAAACATGAAGAGCAATAGATAAACATCCTTCTTTACATCAAAACAGAAAATAGTAAGTGTAAAAGGTGCATGTAAAGGTCATTACCTCAGGTTTTTCTTCTCCCTCTTTTGGTTCCTCCTCTTCTTCCACCTACCAAAAGCTTAAATTACAATGATTTAATACATTCCCATGCTTTAGGTTCCATTTTACACAGAGTATTAAAATGAGCGCAGGTGAAGAAATTTGACGAGAACCCTTTTGATAAAGTCAATCCCTGAAATTTTCATAACAACGAATTGGTACCTTCAGAGCCTTCAAGAATCTGGAAGTGCCACTTTGTGCAATGGTTCCAAGACACTCTATAAAAGCTCCTCCTTGGTCATGCCAATACCGGTGTCCCTGCAAGAAGGAAAAATACAGACTAAGAAGCATTTTTTTTATTAAAATCCTATAAAAACAGAGTAAAAATACATACGTTTGGTAATTGTTCCGTTATCTGGATCAGGTTTGATACGAATCTCGAGCACACCAGCATCACCAAGCAAAAGAAGGTTCGGTTACACTCAAGAACCTCAATTTATCAAGAGCATCACTTGCATTACTGCAGAAAACATTTGAAATGAGTCAAAAATTGCCCCCATAATTGTAAAACAGAAAGGAAGTAACAATAAGACGCTAAGGCAGAATCACAAATATAAACTTCACCTAACAAACTCTCTAAGGAACACCTCCTTGTGGCTGTACAAGCTATGAACTATCAAGTCCAACAATCTGCTCACCTGAAACCCATTCAAATTACATTAGACAACAAAAGCTCAAACCCCACAATACCAAACAAGATCTAATCTTTTTAACACAATAGAATGAAAAAGATTCTATTTTTATCACTTTCAAACAACACCCCCACGCCCATCAGCTTCACAATACTGCAAACCAAACATAAAAGCAGAATAAAAAAACAAAACTTTACCTCAGCTTGATATTCATGTGTCTCTCCAGGGCTATCGGCGGTCTTGTTCTCGGCCACGGCGGCTGTGGCCTCACACCTCAGCGCCGCCAACCTGTAATCCTTCCTCGCCACTTTACAGTCCAGCCCACTTCTCGAAAACCTGCTTCTCAACCCATTTCTCGGAAAAAAAGCGCTTCTCAAGAAGCACTGGTTGCTTTTACTGTAATTCTTCGAAGAAAAAGATGCTGGCGTGAATGGGATTGGGGAAACTGAAGCAGATGCCAGGCTTCTGCTAAACACAGGCGCCATGTTCTCAATTGAGAAAAAGGGATTGCAAGATTGAGGCTTTTGCTCTGGTTTTTGTCTGTGAATTAACTCACTCTCCCTTCAATTTGAAAAACCCTAGGTAAATGAAGGTGAGCGAGGGTTCTAGAAATGGATGTGAAATGGGGATTGTATGGTCCTGGTTGTTGCCATTTCAGCAAATACAATATCCGATTGGTTTTTACATTTTTTCATAAATTGATTTATTTTTTTAATATTAAAATTGAAAACTATGGTGCCTGTTTTTGAAGGACTCAATTCAATAATGTCGTCCATTCACAAAGAACTAATATCCCACGTGTAGAAATGCATAGATATAAATTAAGGCGTCGTTTACTTCAAGGGATGGGATAACACAAATTAATCCCCACCACTTTCCACGTCAGCATTTAATCTCATGTTTACTTTTGGGAATGAATTTTGTCTAAAATATCCCTTATTTACTTTGATGGATTAATCAAAGACATAAAACCAACAAAGACTACACTACCCCTGCGTTCAAATTGTTCTTCCTCGACAATCAGTTTGCCCTAATTCGACGAGAGGCGAGAGGCGACATCACTCCCGACGAGTACCTGCTGTTGCTTTACTTCGAGTGTTGACGACGTCCATCTGATAGCCCTGCGATTCCCTTCTTCCTCGACATTCAATTAGAACTCGGTTTGCCCTAATTCGACGAGAGGCGAGAGGCCACATCACTCCCGACGAGTACCCGCGGTTGCTTTACTTCGAGGGTTGACGACGTCCATCTGATAGCCTGCACAATATACGCCGACGGCCGGCGAACACTTTCCCAGGTACTATGAATATTTTCCGGTAATATTTCCAATTGTACCATCGTACGGTTTTTTCCGTTCATTTGACGAAGATGTTCCGTTAATTTTTTGTTCGATATTTTTACCAATTATATCATTTATGATGAAGACCTCTTGGATCTTCTCTTGAACTGAAGCTATCTTGGATTTTTTCTTCAGCTGCCCTAATTCCTCGAATTTCAATGCGTCCACTTTATTCCTCTAAATTTTCTTGTAGTGATGTTGTGTTGTAGGTCGACTAGGTTTGTGTTCTTCCTTTCCCAGCTAATATTTGAAGTTGTGGATGTATTATGTTGTAGAACTTGTGGGTGGATCTAAAAAAGTGATGGGTAACTGAACTTGTTTTCATTTCTTCTTGCGGTTCTCATTTTGAATTGGATGCATCTGAATTCGCTTTCGTAGTTATTTTGAGTGTGTTTGGTGATAGGAAAAAAATGATCTTCGGTGCTGTTCCATTGGTTCTGTTTGAATAGGATTGTTTCTGTCTTGAATTGTTTGAATTGTATTGGTTCTGTTTAATTCACTTGCGTTTGCTGATTTTGATCAGTCTGCTTCCCATTTCTAATCTGTTCGGAGCATGTTTTAAGTTAGCTTGCGGCCTTATCTGCCTTGGATATTAGTAACCGTGCAACACGTTGAGGGAGGAAATGTTATGAGCCTTATTGTTGTTGTATTCTTTTCGCGATTTTTTTGTTGTTGTTGTTGCTGAATATGTTTATCACATGATATGGGATTGAAATGAAGTTTAGGACAAGAGAAATGATAGTCATGTTGTTGATTTCTGCCTTCTCTTGCTTGAGGGGGTAATTTGTAATCTGAAATGTGGGTTTATTTTGATCAAAAATGTGGATTTGAGTGTAAAACATGAACTATCTATTAGTTCTTACAGAAATATTAAGTTTGATTAGCTTTCATGTTCAGGTTGTTGCCAGTTTGTTCTCCAATCTGTACCAACAAATATTTTTAACATGTGGATTAGTTGCGCCTTGATCAGTATTATCTTATTCTTCTCTTCAGGCAAGCAACATGTCAAATACTTCTCACACGAGTTCAACCAATCGATATAACAGGAGCTCTACCCCGTTTGGTGTTAGGCTGTGTGAACACGATGAAGAAGCCGATGTGTTGACATCAATGACCCCTGAAAACCCAGCCCGAAGGTTCTTTAAATGTCCTCGGCGGAAGGTAAAAATTTTATAGTTCACTGGTTTATATCTGTACATGAAGTTTAATGTATGGTTTAATGTGTTTAATGAAATTTAATGTATGGTTTAGTGTATGGTTTATATCTGTACATTTAATTTTTTTATGTATGGTTTATAAAGTTTAATATATGGTATAATGTATGGTTTAATGTATTTTTTTTTATATATGTACATGAAGTTTTATTCTCGGATTTAATTTCATTGTTCACAGCCCGAACCTCCTTGTCGCCTTTTTGAGTGGATTGACCCCGAGTTGCCGCCGTTCCAAAAGGGTTGTTTCAATAAGCTCAAGGCTGAAAAGGATAGGTTGCAAGAGCAGCTAATGTGCAAAAATGTGATGGAGAAATTGCTATCGGAGAGGTTGGACTTAAAAGCCACCGAGATCAAAGCACTGGAAGATGCGAAGGTTCGGATGATGACTGATTTGGAGATTGTAGCAACAGAAAAAGTTGAACTACAGTCCAGGCTTGATCAAGTTGTACGTGAAGCTCAAGAGTTGGGGAAGAAGGTCACATTCATGAAGAAATGTACCTTTTGGTTAATCGTTTTTGTTGTTTTACTCTTTTGTTTCTTTAAGTAAGGTTGTTTAGCATTAAACATGATGACGTTGATATGTATTCTATTTTAGTTTTGTAAAACATAATGTGTTTTTTAAACAGCTACGTTCTATCATGTGGACAGATGGTCATTGCATTGAAGCATTAGTTGGGTAAACAATGCACTAGGATTTCTATGCCAATTATGTGTTTTCATGTGACGTGCTATGACAGGTCATGGTGGCAGGTCTATAGGTATGCTGAAGCTTGCTTTTCTTTAAAGCTGAGTTGATTTGACTAATAAAGGACTTCACGAGCATGTGCACCTTCATGTGTACTAGTCTGGGATGCCAAAAAAAAAATGTCACCCGTATCAGTGAGATTTATGCATACCCAATTTGGCACGCTAAAGAAGATATGTTACAGCTTCTAAAATTGAAAAAAAAAAAATTGCTGTAGAATGTATGCGTAAAAGTGACAACTATTTAAATTATCTGAACATATACAGTAATATAATACTGTTGTGTTGAATAGCATGCGTAAAGGACTTCTTATGACCATTCACAGTAAAAATGACATGCTATGATAACGTCTGCTACAATGATACAATCCATGTGTACACCATTGTTTATCTTTTCTGCTACGATATTACAGTTCTATGGCTACGTTTTTGCTTTTTTTCGAAGTTGAGCTGATAGGTCCTTATCATCTACTAAATTACTTGCATTATTGGTCATGTGGCATTAAATTTATTTGCAATATTGGTACTGTAGGAAGAGCATGCGCACATCACTTTAGAGACCATTAAAGACATTGTTTCGTCATCTTTTTGGTAAAAAAAAATCAGATTTCAAGGGTCAGATTATGACAAGTCACTACAGGTCTAGAGGTAGCTATAAGCTAAGTACGCAAAGCTGAATTGAATAGACATCACTTACATGAAGACCATAAATCTTGCCTTACACCTTTGAATGCATTATTGATCTTAGGGCACGAAAATTTTGCTATTTAAACCCCATAACTGAGACCATGTATTCATCAACCGTAGAAAGAAGTAATGAAATATTATTGATCTTTTATTAAAACATACAAATTTTATACTTCACAAAATTGCGATGGCTCCTAATTTGGGTTTAGTGCAGGCAGACTATCTGTACGACCTAAATTGGACACCAAAGTTTGATGACTTTCTTATCGACTACTTACTTGAAGATAAACTATGTGGTATATTTGTTCCTAATGGCGATAATACTGAGTCCATACTTGGTGCTACGCGAGCATTCAATGCGTGGTTTGGCAAGAGTTTCACGATGGAGTACATCGGAACACGAGTTGGAGTTTTGGAGAAACGCCATGATGTTTTCACGGCTCTGAAAGACAAGGCTGGTGTTCAATACGATGTCGGCCTGAACAAGTACAATGCTTCGGGCAACACTTGGGATGAAATGCTAAGGGTGAGTTTTATCGAAAATAATTGCATTTTCATTTCTTACACCAAAACTAGTGTTGCAAACTAAATTTTATTCATTTTTTCCCGTAGTGGGATGATTTTTCCCTGGCGTACATGACGGAAGGTGATCCACATCATAACAAGCTTGTGGAGTTGTTTTACGAAGAGCCACCGTACGTAAATCCTTTGCAGTGGTGTATCATTTCTGACAGCGACGACGAAGGCAAGAAGAAGGGCAGTAGGGGCCGTGGCAAAGGTGTTGAAGTTATCGATGTGGAAGATTACCCTCCAAACCGTCTGCCACCGAGTAGGTTAGTTCCCTACCCCGTTCGAAATGACTTCCCACAGAGAGCTAAGAAACAACCACCGCGTCCGGCCTTTTTTATGGGTAGCAGTTCGAAGGGCCCAAAAAAGAAGCAATCCACACACAGTCAAACCGGTTCAACTGATGGCTCTGTGAATCAGCCCAACAACGACATCTCCTCTCATGTTGCACATGAAACGGAAGAAAATTCTATTTCTACTGCCTGTTCTGCCACTTCTATGGATTGCCCTTTTGATTGGCCGTGGAATTAACTTTGTCACTATATATTTCCCTTCTATGTTTGTTCTTGTTTCGGTGGTGTATCAGTATGTTAGTTGTCGTTGTTGGGTTGTTTAATGGTGCTTTAGTATGTTTGTACTTTGTTTCCGTCATGTGTCTGTATGGAACTGCATGTTCCTGATTGTCCTAAGATGTAGTCGTCCCGTCGACAATATGTACCCGTGCTTTGTTTCATTGAGAAAATGTATGTTTGTAATATTATGTATGTTTGGTGGTTTGTTCCATTGTTTCGGTGTTGTACCCGTATTGTGTCGGCCTTACAATATCATATAAACCATATAAATTGTCCCAAATAAACCTACGAAACTATAAATACACAAATCTTACATACCCGTAATTTTTCAATCACAACACTAGAGAAAGCATGAAAATGGTCTTCATAAACACAAAAAATGTTTAACACAAAAATGTCCAAAATAAGGC